CCACTAGAGTTAGGAATGCACCTCAGCATTATTATGCTTTCCATATTACTGCAGAAGGTGATACATTGATCAGTGATAGTACACTAATTAATCTAGATGAACCTAACAACTATAAGGAAACCATGGCAGACCTTGAGTCAGCCAAATGGAAAGAGGATATGGACATCGAGATTCAGTCCATGTATGACAATCAAGTTTGGAACTTGGTTGACAATGTATCGGGTTGTAAGACAGTCTGATGCATATAGATCTTCAAGAAGAAGACCGACATGGATGGGAAAGTACACACTTATAAGGCGTGACTAGTTATGAAGGGATTTACTCAAACTCCGGAAGTTGACTATGATGAGACCTTATCACCAGTAGCGAAGATTAAGTCTATTAGGGTTATGCTAGCATTTTGGCATTTCATGATTATTAATTATGGAAACTGGATGTTAAAACTGCTTTCCTTAATGGGAAGTTGGATGAGGATGTTTACAATGCAAAGTACCATAATAGAGTGTGTAAGCTTGAGAGATCCATTTATGGATTGAAACAAGCATCTCGTAGATTGAATCTTTGTTTCGATGAGAAAGTCAAAGAGTTTGGTTTTTCAAGAAGCAAGGATGAGTCCTGTGTATATGTCAAGGCTAGTGGGAGTATAGTTAGCTTTTTGGTATTGTATGTCGATGGCATACTACTTACAGGAAACGACATCTCAACCTTGCAGGAGGTTAAGTCCTCGCTTGGGAAGTGTTTCTCTATGAAGGACCTTGGAGAAGTTGCATATATTCTTGGAATAAGGATACTGAAAGATAGGAGTAAGAGACTAATTGGACTTAGTCAAAGTACCTACTTGGATAAGGTGCTGAAAAGGTTCAGCATGCAGGATTCCAAGAAAGGTGACTTGCCAATCAACTGTAATGCCAAACTGAATAAGACTCAGAGTCCGATTATAGACGCTAAGATAGTTGACATGAATCATGTACTATATGCTTCCGCTGTGGGCTCAATCATGTATGATATGAATTGTACTCGCCCTGATCTGGCCTTTTCTTTGAGCATGGTCAACAGATATCAAGGGAACCCTATCAAGGCTCACTGGACTACGGTGAAGAACATTCTCAAGTACCTACGAAGGACTAGGAACTGGGTCCTTACCTTCGGTGGGAGTGATGACTTGAGAGTAGTAGGGTATAGCGACGCTAGCTTTTAGACTGATAGGGATAATTTCCGCTCTCAGCCAGGCTGGGTCTTTACCCAAAATGGAGGAGGAATTACTTGGAAAAGTTCCAAAAAAAACAGTAGCTGATTCAACATGTGAGTCAAAGTACATAGCAGCAAGCGAAGCGGCAAATGAGGCAATATGGCTAAAGAACTTCATTAGAGACCTTGGAGTTGTACCAGCTTTAAAGGTGCATATGGAGATTTTCTACAATAATGAGAGTGTAGTTACCAGAGCCAAGGAACCAAGGGATTACAGCAGATCCAGGCACATCGACAGAAAATACCACTTCATTAGACATCGTATAGAATAAGGACTCCTCATGGCAAAGAGGATATCATCATATGCAAATCCGGCAGATCCCCTCACAAAGGGACTGGATAGGGTTAAGCTTATACAGCATGTGAGGCACAGTGGGTTGATGGATGATATCAGTTTTAGTAATTAGATAGCTTTCAAAACTTGTAATAGTTGAAATGTAATTGACATTTGTTGTTTAAATAAAAGGTGTTTATTTACTAGTATGGTATTGTCTTGTGTCAATCATTTACTATTGTTTCATTTTGCATGTTTCGACTTCCAGAATAATTTTATTATTCGAAACCATCCACAGTCGTTCACACTTTGGAAGTAGGTGTAGAAATAAGACAATCATGAATTGGGTTTGTAGATTTGTCTGAATTGTATTAGACATAGCAATGGTTGCTACAACATTCATGAGTGCTCATAAGGTCTGAGTATTGGATTCAACACAAGCTCACTTGTATCACTTCATGGAATTTATCTTGAGTGATCGTGAGACGGTAATATTATATAAGTCTTCAAACCAAGAGATATGAGTTGTTGGCTATGAGTTGATTGAACATTGATAGTGCGAAACCACATCAATAACATGATGCTATAAAACGTGTTGTTGTGTTCAACTTGATGAATAACTAGCACAAGCATATGATTCAAAGTTTATCTGTTTCTTTTAGTCCTTGGAGGATTAAAAGTGATATCTTGGTCCCCTTGATGATTTTGTTTTGACTTATTTTCCAGGCCCGATCAAAACTAAATTCATGTGTTTGATTAAGTTCTATGTCAAACAAATTGGAAATTAGGAAACAACTGTTGTACAATAAGTACGAGGTTGTTCCATGTATTTTTCCGGCGGATATCTTGAGAATTGAGGATTATATGATCACTTATCTTAAATGGCGCATTCTAGTTCCATGAGACTTTGAAGAGCTATGATTGCTGGTCGGATCCTAAAGTCATACTTGCAGCCATATTTATTAGACTTATCCAAGTGAGAGACTGTTGGATAAGGTGTCTAAATCCATAACTACATTTGGTATGTACTTGACCCGACTTAACATGGTCCATTTGGGTTGCATGGCATCGGAACAATTGAGTAGACAAAATGAGAAAAGGATACTTTGGATTTGTTAATATATTATAAGTTCTAATATATTAATATGAAATAATATTATTTAATTAATATTAATCAAGAATTAATTTGTAATTAATTTTTTGATCAAAAAGACTAATTGAATATATGGGGATTGATTATGTAAATCACTCATTCTTATATAGTGGGCTTATGATCCATGATTCATTAGATTGGGCTAAAACCCATTGGGTGATCCATGGATGCTCCATGGAGGTTAAAACCCATGGATCACGGAGGAAACGAAAATCTATGCACATTAGGGTTTGCATGGTGTAACCTTACATGTGACACACTATATAAGGACCTCATAGCAAGTAAAATCGGCTACTATACAAGTGAGAGCTAGCCGAATTTTGAGTACAAGTGTTCTTCTCTCAAGTTATTCCAATAGTTGTGGTGTTGTGTGAGACATTTAAGGCATCACAATTGGGGTGCTAGACTCACAAGGTCTTAAGGAATCAAGCTACAAGAAAATGTGTGTCATTCTACTAGCTTTTGTATTACATATACCCCATGATATGGTAATTAGGATGAACACCTTGGAAAATGAAAGTTTGCATGTATAATAGAGAAAACATAGATCCAACGTTTCTAGGGTTGCATGCACACCATAGGAGTGTTAGAATGCTCAAAACCCATCAACGGTGTCAAAGCCAAGACTTGTCTTCAATTATACGTGATGCAAATTGTTGAAAAAAGTCGAATTTCTGCTTGCTGTTCAGTGAACTCGCTGAGTCCATGGGAGGACTCGATAATTCCATGTGAAAACTCATCCAACTCGTCGAGTTGGTTCATGCACTCAACAATTCGGAGGCCCTAAGTGCAGAATTTCGACTTTTATTGCTGGAATTTGACTAGGATCATTACCCTAAACTGTTTTTAGATTGTTAAACCTGTTTTTGATGTGGTAATGATTGTGTTTATCCAATTTCAATGATAATTGTCAAAGTTTCAATTTTTATATTAAGTTCATATGATACTTGAAAATTGTTGATATTGATGTTTCTTGCCTATGAGTTTTTATTAGATCATAGGAATTATTTGCAAATTGTTTGTTAGTTAATTGTTGATCTAAATGCTTCATAATGGACTCCATAACTTGTCCTCAAGTTATGGAATTCCAAAAGTCTCTTCCATTAAAAGCCTTTAAAACTCATAAGTTATAAAAATCAAAGGTTTTGAATAGTTTCAAAACTTACCCTCAAGTTTTGGAATTTGTAAAGTCACTTTAGAAATCTTTAATTCCAAACCTTATAATTTTAAAAGTTTAAAATTCAACCCTTATACTTTATAATATTATAAGTTAATATATATATATATATATATATATATATATATATGTGTGTGTGTGTGTGTGTGTGTGTGTGTGTGTTTGTGTGTGTGTGTAAGATCAAGTCAGTCTTACTGTTAGCAGGTCTCCTTCAAGAAGCTGGTCTATAAGGGGGTATAAGGTTGTTTGCCTATAAAATGGCAGCTTAATGGGTGTCCATTCTTACCCACCGCTTCCTTGACTGGTGCAGGGTCGTTAGTCGAATGGGTAGGATACGAATATAATTCTCCCTTCATTAAATACTCAAACCCTAGAATGGAATATGGGAGGACAAGCCAACTCGTTTACAAGATAGACTCAAACAAAAAGGCCCAAAGATGCAGCACAATTATCCCAACAATCTCCCCTTTTGCATCATTTTAGGCAAGTGAACATCAATTCTCGATTCACTTTTGTACTTCAAAAACCTTCGGAATTATACTCAATAATGCTTTACGAACCTGGACATACCAACGAATCATGTCCTAGAGTCACTTCTTATCACCTTCACTATTGCCCTTGTATTTGTTGACAAGATCCAAAATGAATTTGAGACAAGACGTGGTGTATAAGTGTTTGTCTGGGAGAAAGAAACACACTTTGTGATATTCATCGTCGTTCTTATCCCTTGCTTGAAAGACAATGTACCAACTTTCCTTGTAGATTTTTCCAAGCTTCAACTTTTCAAACCCATCAGGGGCTTCTTTAGGAACTACAGTAGGCTTCTTTCATAACACTGCAGCTATCTCTACATCCATAATGCCCACCTCTTGAATATACGAAATGAGCATAAGCTTAAGGTGATGGATGACAGGTTCATACTTCTGCGAGTCTCGCAGCAACAAATTGTAGAGAATTATTTAGTCATAAGGATTGATACACGGTAAGTCTGCGAGAGTAAACTCATGAACTTGACTCGCAAAACCTCTGACAACTTTGAATTTGGCATTTGGAAAAATATCAGTTTCGATTGGTCCGGTGACCTTCACTGTCGCGATCTTGGTGGCACTCCAAGTCTCATATTGCAACCTTATGTGCTTAAGATAAAATTAGAAGTAAAGCTTATTAGTACCATTATCAGAGACGGGGACATTCGCAACCTTGATAAAAGAACAAAACATGAAGGCTTTAGATGTAATTGGAAGATCCAGTTGTGAGTCCTGAGTGTTCTGAAGATCGAACGACACAACCGATTCTAACCAATACTGATTCGGTGAATCAACAGGTTGAATTTGAATTATTTGTAGCGTCCAAACAAGAAACAAGAGTTTCCTACTTTCAAGAGCGGACCTTGATTCTCTTACAGCTTTCTCCTTGCCTTCAGCCTCTCTCAATATTCTTTGATTCTCATCCAATTCAGCCTCATGAGCCTTTCGCCTTTTGAGTTCTGCTTCATCAAGCTCTTCTTCATCGTTGTTGTCAACTATTGGCTCCTCAGAAAAAAGCTTGTATTTTCCTTTAGGATCAAATTCTCTTTTAATACTTGGCTTGACTAAATTGGTTGGCTTTGCTGAAGACTTCTTCGGTTGATCTCCCCTTGTTTTAGAATATTGGAAGGTTCCGGAACACCCTCCAAGTGATGTAACATAGAGAACGCTAGCTGGTCTTAGCTTTTCAGCAAGATGTTTCCGAACTATAGTTGTTATCATTGGATCCCTGGTCTATAATGTCTGAGAGTAGGCCATTAACATCAGTGATGCAACATTTCATTATTACCCTCTCAGAGATCAAATCCTATACCTACTTTTCAGCTTGTTCGAGCTTAACAGTAAGAACCTTAAATTTTTTGTTTTAATGGCAAGGAAGTCTATTATTTTACTTTCCATGGCAAGATCATCCTGAAGTTTGGAGATTTGTGAGGAAATTAAGGATTTAATCTCTTCGTGATCAGTGGTGATTACAGTTCTGACTTCTTGCAGCTTTGCTCGTTCAGCCTTAAGAGAAGAACCAACATTGGCAATTGCTTCATTAGCTCTTGATCTATTGTTCTCAAAAGAAGACTGGAAGTTGTTCATAAACTCAATGGCATCAAAAATTAGTTTATCGACTTTTTCGGTCATTTGGTTGCAGACCGAGACAGAGGCATCCACAACCTTGTTCATCTTTTCAAGATTAGATGAATGCTCCTTGGTGAGGATTATGAGCATGGACTTTATTGAGGCTTGGGATTAGTCATAAGAAGAAGAAGGTTTGGAAGTCTGAAGCAGAGAGTCAAGCTTTTCGTGGATAGCTTTTTGTTGCCCCTTCATAATTGAAGTTTGATCATCACTAGCCGTCCGAATAGTGAATGAACTGAAAGTGAACCCTGCTAAATCATCTTCATCATCCCTCAAGATCATATCAGTATCATCTCGATGTATTAGGGAAATGGGTGGATAGATATGAGAGGATGTAAAGCCTAAAGTTCTATCCACCGCATCAGATGCATTAACTAAAACAACAGATTCTCCAGATGTTGTTGGTGGAACAATGGAATCGGTTAATAAAGGAATAGATAAGGGAATGGTGCTTTGATGTTGAGAATAAACAGGTGGAGGGCAGGATGTAATGGTTATTAGTGTTGTGGTGTGTTCAGGTGAACGAGGAGCAGTAGGAAAGAAATCGTTATAAGTAGGGGTTACCTCAGGATTAGATGTAGCCTCTTCGTTGTGAACTCACTCCTCCTATTCATTGCGAATTGGCTATTCTTCCTCATTACGAACATCTAACTGAGTGTCAGATTGCGACTGTTCACTTTCATAAGGTGTAGGGGACTTAGACTTGCGAGCGGATCTCTTCAATTTTCGCTTTTTAGGAGTGACTGCAGATGGAGCAGCTTTCGCCTTTCTCTTCTTTGGAGTGTTCTTAGGGTCAAATGGACCTTCCGTATCTTCCTTTTTCTTTTCTCCCTTCTTTCCTCCTTTGTTACCCCCTTTATTGGGTTTATCTGCTTCAGCTATAATCGACTGCATTTTAGGAGTTAAAGTACAAAAACCTGAGGCAGGAAGTGTACAATATCTCTTAAGAAGTTTGCTGGCAGGAGGCACATCACGAAGCATGGCCTCAAGAACTGATCCGACAAAAACGAACTTGGAAGAATCAGCAACAATGATTCCAGTGGTGTGAAAGGTTGCAACTTTAGACATCAGGGCATCTTGCATAATTGGAATCTACAACTTGGTGATGGACCTTTGAACAATGATGGACCAAAAGCATGCACACGAGATTTCCATGTGAAGAGTAGTTGAATGGGTACTTTGAATTACCCGAGCCCAGAGAACAGCACCATAGTCGATATTCAACCCAGTATAGACGCCATAGATTATTGTCATGAATAGATTGTTGGCACAGTTAGATCCTGTTACCCTTTCATAAAAGGCCTTGAATAAGATTGTGAAAAGTCCATTCCATTGGAGTGGCAAGTCATGTTTTCGGAATTTTGAAACTGCAGACAAGGTGTCTTTACACCCCATTTGATAAAACATCTCTAACAGGGCTCAATTGGAGATGGATTATGGATCAATAAGGTCATCAGATTGAGCAAGCCCTAAGAGAGAAGAAAATCGAGCTTTGGTGATGGAGGTTGTTTTATCCAAAATTTGAAAAGTGATTCTCTATTCTTCTTTGATGTAACACACTGAAGAGTATGCCTTTGAAAGTGATGACATCGAAACAATTTCCATCCTGGTTAGGGTTGTGATTAGAGGAGAGTATTTTAGACACTCAATGATTATAAGCAGATGGTTGTCATACTTGAAAGGATCTAGATTGATGACCACATTTTGATGCGGCTTGATGGTGAGAAGTTGAGATTACCCAGTTTGTTCTTGAACAGAGGGAGTTTCAGAAGAGCCCACCATTGTTTAGATCTTGAAGAAGAAGAGGATGAACAGTTGATTTCTCTGATCGCCGTAAACTTTGAGATAATTTTGTGAGTGGTAATGAGAGATGAAGCACCAAAATCCTTTTATAACATGCGATTAAGGAGAAAATCCGGAGAGAGATTACATCGATTAATGAAACATCGCCTGAAAAAGCACGATTTGACAACCGTTCATGTCATAGATATACGTCATACGGCAATAAAGTAGATGTCCTTTCAAAATTTCGCATGCCCATTTGAATTCTTATCTTCAAGAAATTGCCACTTTAGCATTGTCCTTTCGCAGTTAAGTGTGATTCCATCTGTCTCATATGAAAGCGAACTTCGTTTTAAGAGAACACAGGCACAAATCATACTTTTGAAAATCACTAGGATCCTCGTGCAAGAGTGTGCCAAAGATAAAGAAATAAAGCAATTAATTCTTATGGATGCTAGTGGTGTCTAATAAGACACGAAACTATGGATCCAAGCAAAGATCGCTTCCTTCGAAGTCAAGAGAGACTAACAAGTATCTGTGTGGTTTCCCATTGAAATACGATCAATTGTTTATTAAGAAACATTGAAAGGCATCTTTTATTAGGCTTGTAAGGTCATCACATCTTCATCCAAACTCCGAAACTTGACATAAGTACGAGAGTTGGATGAAGTACTCGTGTGACCAGTGTAGTCAGTTGAACGAGTAGGTTTGGAATTATTTTAGTGACAAGATTAAATTTTGAAATCTCAAAAAAAAAAAAAAAAAAAAAAAAAAAAAAAAAAAACTAGATCTTGTGGGAAGAAGTGTCTTGGGACAAGAACACGTCATTAAGATCTCGCAAAAGAAAAAGAGATTTCTTAGTACAAACCACGAAAGTGGCTTTCATTAATTCCATGGTGAAAATCTTGAACTTTTAATTGTTCACCGTCAATTCATTTAAGTGTGTTGGATTCTGGGTTTCACTCAGTTCGTGGTGGACGAAGCTAAGATCATTAACACAAATGTTGTGTAACCATAAACCTCAGTGGTATTAGTTGAAAGTCTCAAGGGTGACATTCATGAGAGCCAAGGTAGTGGAGAAGTGTGAAGGTGGCTCCAGAGAAGCGAATGTGGCTCTGCTATGAGAAAGTGACCAAACAGATAACTCTTAACTCAAGATGAGAAGAGTAAGGTAGCTCATGAATAATGTGAATTTAATATGCTGGTTAGGAAGAAACGATTGGTAGAATCAGTTCATTAAGGTTTCATATCGAGTCGATTGAGGCTTCGGACAACATGCAGCAGCATGCTTCTAGGGCCACTTAGCTAATACATAGATAAAGAGATTTATACCTATCCCATCACACAAATTGAGATATGATATGAACATGTGCCTCCATGATCTTCTTAAGATATTTTTGGTGTTTTTGTGATTTGCGAAAATAAAAGAAATAAAAATAAACACAAATAAAATATTTTTGTATTTTTGAAATTTTCTGAAAAGAAATTAAAACAGAAAGGATTGTAAAATGAAACAAAGATAAGAAATAGTGTACATAATGTACAAAAGGATATTGGAAAATCTGAACTGCAAATTAATGCAAGCGTTCGCAACGATTCGTAGTGTTAAAGTAGACTGCACATGAATAGTGGACTACAAACTACTACGAACGTTTGCACCGATTCGCAGTATAAACATTATTTATGCAAAAATAGTTTCAGAACAGATTCAGCTTCCATCATTCCCAGACCTTGAAGAACTATATTGAAGGTTGTTTCAGGCAATGCTTTTGTGAATATGTCAGCTAACTGATCTGAGGATCTTACGAAGTGAATTTCAACATTGCCATCTTCTACGTGATCCTTAATGAAATGATACCTCAGTGCTATGTGTTTCGTATTTGAGTGTTGCACTTGGTTGTGACAAATGCGAATGGCACTCTCGGATTCACAGTACAATGGAATTCTCTTCATACTTAAGCCATAGTCACGTAGCTGACTTTGAATCCAAATAACTTGGAATGTGCATGAGGCAGCAGCTATGTATTTAACCTCAGCTGTTGACAAGGATACACAAGTTTGCTTCTTGGATTTCCAGCTGACAAGTTTGCCATCAAGAAATTGGCATCCTCCAGTTGTACTTTTTCTATCTAATCCACATCCTCCAAGTTCATCATCTGAAAATGCTTGTACAAAGATTCCTAAGTTTGCTGGATACCAAATGCCAAGTAAAGAGGTTCGTTTTAAGTAACTGAAGATGTTTTCTACTACCGTCATGTGAGGTTCTCTAGGATTCTCTTGGAACCTAGCACAATAGCAAACGGAAAACATGATATCTGGTCTACTAGTGGTTAGATACATCAATGACCCTATCATCTGATGATAAAGAGTAATATCTGCTGCTGGTTTCACCAGATATGGTGTTAATTTCATTCTGAATGTCATTGGAACCTTTGATTTTGAATCTCCCACCATTCCAAACTTAGTAAGCAAGGTCTTTATATATGCTTCTTGATTAATAAAAATGACTTCCTGACCTTATCTTATATTTAACCCAAGGAAAAGGTTAATAGGACCCATGGAGCTCATCTCAAATTTAGTTTCCATCAACTTTCAGAATTCAGCTGTTAGGCCGGGATTAGTAGAACCGAAAATGGTTTCATCAACATAAATTTGGAAAATCATTAAATAGTCACCCTCTTTCTTGCGAAAGAAGGTTGGGTCAACCGAACCTTGTTTAAATTTAGACATTTTTAAGAAGCGAGTGAGAGTTTCATACCAGGCTCTAGGAGCTTGCTTCAGACCATAAACAGCCTTGTCTAAGATGTAACAGTGATTAGGATACTTCTCATTGACGAACCAAGGTGGTTGTTCTATGTATGCAGGCTCTTCAAGTTCTCCATTCAAGAATTCACATTTGACATCCATTTGGAATACCTCAAAGTTCTTGTGCTCTGCCTATGCCATGAAGATGTGAACAGATTCCAATCTTGCAACAGGCAAGAAGGTTTCTTCGTAGTCGATGCCTTCTTCTTGGAAATACCCCTCAACCATGAGTCTCGCCTTGTTTCTTATAACATTCACTTCTTTATCCATTTTATTGCAAAACATTCATTTTAAACCTACAATTGATGCATCTGGTGGAGTTGGAATTAGCCTTAAAACTTTGTTTCGTTCAAAATCATTGAGTTCGTCTTGCATCGCTTGCACCCAATCAGAATGATCAAGAGCAATATTAAACATTTTGGGTTAAACCTTGGAAACGAATGATTTAAACATATAAAATTCCACTTTAAAGAATAATGCAGTTTGTTTCGCTTTTTGCTAAGATCTCGTAAGGACTCTTGTAGAAGATTCACCAATTACTTGGGTTATTGGGTGATATCTAGTCCATTTGGTTAATGGATTATACTTTGGATCACAAGAGGGATCCAATTCACCGTTTACTTCTTCGAATTCTTATTGAACATCTGAATCATCATTCGCATCTTTATTCTCCCCTTCAAATGACAAGAGGTCCTCTTCTTCAGGATTTGAAGTATCTCCTATGATTGGAAGTTTGTGAGTCACTGTGAGAGGTGTGTTATCTTTATCATTAGGTGGTTCAGAAGAGAAAGATGAAGTAAAACCCTCCCCCTACGATGGAATGCTCGTATTTTGTAGTGTAGATTTCTCCCCCTGAGGACTTATGTAAAACCCCGTTTATTTATTAAATAAATAAATTAATTAATGAATGGCCCGTAGCCCTAAAACAAATAATTATTTAGCAAAGTGTTGATATCGAGGAGCTATTTGTCACACTTTTAGAGATTGGGGGCTAAAAGTGTAAATCCGGAGTTAACTTGTAAGTATTATTGAAGGCAGGGATTTAATTGTAACTTTAGGGACTTTATTTGAAGTAATTTTGGAGACAAAGGGGTTGTTTTGTAAATATTATACCTAGATTGCAATGGATTTTAAATGCTGGTGTTTAAAAGGTAAATATGGGACTTATTGCGAATTGATTTTCGAAGGGAGGGGTCATAGTTGTTATTATGGGTGAATGTAGTAAAGGAAGCGGGTATATAAACCTAGCTTCACCGATCACTAACCCTAAAACCTAATGAAGTGTCGGCCGCCCCCTCCACTCCTCCAGCCACCATCGCTAATTGCTCACGCTCCTCCAACCAGTCTCAGCCTCTTCTCCGTCCATGATGCTACGTTCTAGCCACACCGCCGTC